TGTCTGTTGATGGTAGATTCTAGTGATGTATTATAGACAGTAGGTGCTGGAATAATGGTTGTTCCTGTTTCCACCTCAAAACGGCTGAAAAATTGATTTAACTGCTCAGCCAAAAAATCACTGCTGCTACACAGACTGTTTTTGTTACTCTGACCAGTGATTTGTCTTAGGCCGTGCCACACTCGGCGAGTGTCAGAACTTTCAAGGTGTTGTTCAATTCTCTGGCTGTACGTAGCTTTGGCATCCTTAATGCCCCTTTTCAGTTTAGCTCTAGCCTCTCTGTACTGTAGTTCATCACCAGAATGAAAAGCAGCATTTCTGGCTTTTAATAAAAGGCGCACTTCTCTATTTAGCCAAGGCTTGTTATTAGAAAACACTCGTACTTGTCTGGTAGTAGTAACAACATTGATGCAGCTTTTGATATAAAACAGTACTGTTGAGGCATAAGTATCAACATTGTCCTCCTCAAACAGTGTCCATTCAGTGCTCCTAAAGCAATCTTGAAGTTGCTCAGATGCATCCACTGGCCACACTTGTATTTCTCTAATGGATGGTTTGATTCTTTTAACAAGGGGTCTGTACGATGGAATCAAAAAAAGAGATATATGATCTGACTGTCCCAAGCTAGGCAATGGCTTCGTCTTATATCCATGTATGATGTTACTATATACCTGATCCAAGGTATTTTCCCCTCTAGTGGGACAGTCCACATACTGATAAAAGTTAGGGAGGACGGTCTTTAAATTGGCTTGATTGAAATCACCTGCTACCACCAGCACTCCATCTGGGTAGGCCTGCTGCTGTTTGCTGATAGCAGTTAACAAACAACTCAAAGCTGTGGTTGTGTTAGCATCAGGAGGTATATATACTGCTGTTATTATAATAACATTAAACTCACGAGGCAGGTAAAAGGGGCGGCATTTCACTGCCAAATACTCCAAATCAGGAGAACAGTGAATGTCCATTATTTTAACATCTGTGCTCCAATTATCGTTTGTGTAAACACAAACCCCTCCACCTCTGCTCTTCCCAGATTCAATAGACCTGTCTGCTCGATGTACTCTGTGTCCTTGTAGTTCAATTACCTCCCCTGGGATGGAAGAATCAAGCCATGTCTCTGTAAAGATCATAATGCAACAGTTTCGAATATTTTTCTGTAGGGAGATAGTAAGTTCCAACTCCTCAATCTTGTTGGGTAGAGATCTAACATTTGAGACAAAAAGACTTGGCAATGCAGGCTTGTGAGGATTTTTGCCTAACCTCACTCGTAGACTAGCCCTGCAACCTCTTTTCTGCTTGCGTTTTCTCCGTGTTCTTTTCTTCCTGACAGGGAGAGTAACCCCCCGATATGCAGGCCGTCTTAAAAGCTCAGCTGGGATGTTGTAAGTTGAGACCCTCAATTCAGAGTTGCAACATTCTCTGCCAATAGATAATAATTCTTGTCAACTGTAAGTTACTTGTGCCTGAGCACGTAGAGTCCATAATAAGGACTGATCTCTGGAATGCCTAGCCGCTGCAAATACTTGCGCCGCCATCTTGACCATATTAATGGTATCTGATTTCCTCTAATGGCCAGTTCTTATAATTATATCTTGAAAATTTGTACTGTTTTTCTAATTTTCTCCATGCAATATTTTAATACCTGTATTTTCAGCCCATGGATAAGTGAATCAGTGGATACTGATCCTGCAGATAAGAGGATCCTACTGTACTCAGCCCCATCTGAGTCAAGACACAGAACTGCCATGGTTAAAAGATCCACTCACACATTCATGTGTTGATCTTCATGTACGAGTGAAAATATGTGCTCTAAAAGCATATTTGGTAACAAATTATAATTTACATTCTGATAACCAACATATATGGAAGATGTCTACATCGCTGAAACACATTTACAATAAATCTATGCATCAGTTCTTGCTGTCCCCAATGGACTGGTGTAAATTTACCTATCATAAGAATACTAACAATTATTAAATAGTAGTTAAAATAATAGTTTCATTTTCCTAAACGATGTCATGAAGCACACACCAGCATGCTCATATGTTATGGGGGATCAAAACATCACTGTGACCGTGAGCAAAATTCTGTTCACCTAAAGTTAGGGTGGAAGCTGATGACATCATCAGCTAATGTCTGTAAACATTTGCAAAAGCTTACTACACCATCACCCCATTTTAGATTCTAAGGCTCCCAGAGGCTCCCGTTTATCAAAGAAAAGACTTTGAAGCCTTGGGGCAGGGAAGGGTAGCCTTTAAAAGTCAAGCTATGCCATCAGATCACAGCCACTGGCAACAGCAGTCTGACAGTAATTTTTTACATTAAAAGGCCTCCTTTATCCTCATCCCCATCCTAAGTTTTCCAAAGTGACGTTACTGACTAGTCCAAGCCCCCACTCAAAGCTTTATTACTAAATAGGAAAATGTACCAGACTCCCTATACCTAAATGCACCGCATAGAGTGTTGGACAACACCTGCTCCTCCCTGTTAAAATACAGTCATGTCCCGCTTTACAATTCCCCCGCATTATGACAAAACCGCATTATGACGACGTTTTTGTGATCGCTTTTGAGATCACAAAACGATGATCTGAATAGGCTTTTTTCGCTTTACGATGATCGGTTCCCTGCTTCAGGAACCGATTCTTCGCAAAATGACGATTTTCCAACAGCTGATCGGCGGTTTCAAAATGGCCGCTGGGTAAATAAAATGGCTCCCTGCTGGTTTCTGGGACGGATTCCTCGCAAGACAACCACCAAAAATGACCACCCTATGGAGCAGTGGTCCCCATCCTTGGGCCTCCAGATGTTCTTGAACTACAACTCCCAGAAGCCTTCACCACTACCTCTCCTGGCCAGGATTTCAGGGAGTTGAAGCCCAAGAACATCTGGAGGCCCAAGGTTGGGGACCACTGCTATGGAGGATCTTCGCTGGACGGTGAGTTTCCAGCCCATTGGAACACATTGAAGGGGTTTCAATGCGTTTCAATGGGCTTTTTATTTTCGCATTACGACGTTTTCATTCTACAGTGATTTTACTGGAATGAATTAACGTTGTAACGCGAGGCACCACTGTAAATGTAATTTACCTGAAAATCATGCCAGTAAATAGATAGCACTAAAGTCTTTGTCTTCGCCAGTAATCAAATATTTATACAATCATAAAATTATAGAAATGTAGAACTGGAAGGGGCTCCAAGAGTGACTAAGCTCAGCTCCCCGCAGGAAGAGGAAATCCACCACTAAAGCAAACCAAATAGGTAGCCCTCTAACCTACACTTAAAAACCTCTAATGAAGAATCCACTACCTCTTGATTCAGTTGGTTCTACTGTCAAATGACTCTTACTGTCTAATGTTGAGTCAAAATTGCCTCTTTGGATCCATTACTCACAGAAGAGTGGTATTTTACTTCTAGTCAGAAGACTGTTGCAGTACAAGGCAAGGCATTTCCATACTCTGCAGCTCACTTGGTACAGTGCTCTCTTCAACATCCTCTCCCAACAGACTTTTTATCAGGGGCACTGGATAACAAACAACTCCCTGTTGTTAGCAGTTGCTTGCAGCAGAACCAAAAATGGACCCACGGATGCACTTGCAATCTTCATCAACCATTTGGAAAATATGCTACTAGTTCATTTTAAACTAAAACTGACAAATCTGCTTTGGCGCCACTTCACATGAATGACTTGTCAAGTGCAATTGTATTTTTAAGCAGCGACAAGCCTGCAATCTGTACATACAGCCCAAGAGGTTTCCTTTCAGCAACAGAATTCATGAAGCTCTGTCTAGTGCTGGAGAGGACACCTTTTGCTTGTATGGTCTCTTGTCAAGAGGAGCAATGGCAGAAGCTTCACATTCCACTTCTAGAACAGTTTAAAACCAATCCTAACTACTTGACTTGAATCTCCCAATCCGTCAAACTAAATCATCATCTTGAGGCCCAGGCATGCTTCTAGTTTCCCATTTAGCACTCAGTAATTAGGTCCCATTTGTCTATCCTGCCAAGAAAGCTAGATTCACTTTTTGTCTACCAAGCAGCCAAAATCTCCAGAGGTGTCAGCTTGAAGTCTACAGAAATGATGTCATGAGACATAGAACATAACAGAGTGTCTGCATGTTATAATTAAGTCCTCTGATAAGCATCACTCTACTAAAGAAAAAAACAAGAAACAGACTGCACTATGAGAGTAGCTCAGGGACAAGCCTCCATGGTACAAGTGGCATGCACTGTTGGTAGGAAATTTCAGAATATACAGTCTTCTTGCAGGTCTTGCAATGTACACTGGTGAAGTACTTAAGACAAATGTATTTACTATATTAATTAAATTGTCTATTTAACATGGAATATCCTCTAATCACATCTCATTTAAAATTATTTCAATTAACTACTCTAAAGTAGACCAGGACAGATCCAATTGTTCTGGGCTCACTAGGAACATTTTCATTATCTATCAAATGAAAGAGTAAGAGGCAGAAACTGTAAATACTCTCTAGAGCAGCCCCCTTTCCTACTTAAAAGATTATTAGGGGAGCAAGCAACAGTAATTCTCATTAGTTGCTCAGTATGGGAAAAAGGACTTCCTATGAACTGAAGCAGAGCAAGAGAGGAGTCTCCAATAAAGTCAGTAAATGGACAGTCTTTCACCCACTCAAGGGTAATCTTTCTTGTATTAAACAGAATCAACCTAATTTGTTTTACTGATGAAACAAAGAACATCAGAGTTAAAAGCACAACATGTAAAGGGACGAAAGAAAAGAAATGGGTGAAATGAGTCTATGATAGACCATGGCTATAAAATACCATTCTAGAAAGTGCCAGTCTTTTTAAAACCAAATTTTAAATTGTTTTGATACTTTAACAGAGATACCCTACTGTATATACACACATACAAGCACAATTATAATAGCTCTAATATCCTAACTCTTGAGGAAACATTACACACTGATGTTCTTAAAGTATCCGATTAGTGTAATGAGCACATTAGGGTATGTTTTCTTACCTGTATACTCACAAGTGAAGACAACAAAAAAAGGAGTAACAAGATCATTAATGCCCTGAACATATCCACTGGCTGGGTGACGTATTGCCCAAATAAACAAAATTCTTTCAAAGATCTGGAAAAAAATAAAGAAATTATAAAACAATGATGTCAGAAAACAAAGAACTATGGATATTAAAATATAAATCAGCAACATCATACATGATCATCAGCCAGTGATAATGCGGTTTCTTGAATATTTCATTAAAATGTTTAAAGATTATTAGGACTATGCTTAACTCAAACTTGGATATAGTTGTAAAACTAGTGCATTTGCAGTAAGGTAAAAGCTGGTTTCCTTCTGAACAAGATCTGAAGTTTTTCAAATATGCTGGGGGGAAGGGCTCTTTAAAAGCTGTATCAAAAATTTTTGAAATCCCCCTCAATTTTAAAAGCAGTTTGATATTTAGTAAAAAATGGTGTTCAAGCCAATTAGTTTCCTGAACATTTTCTTCTAATACCTCCAATACTGTTGTAGAGAAAAACAGGCTGCTTACCTATATTTATGTTTCTTTGAGTAGTCTTATATGAACTAACACTAAGAGATTTTCCTGCACTTGTGCAGAGCATTCCAAAGTTAAGTTTTGGCTGGACTTTCCCTCTCTATGGCACATGACAGTCTATTTCCTTCAATTCCAAGTCTGATGATAATATGCTACTAGGACATGAAAGAGGGGAAGAGGATGGGTCAAGTGGGTTCACAGACTACTGCTCAAAGAGCCACTGTTCTTCCTCATGGTCTCTGTGAATCCACGATAATGGGGAAATAGATCTTTCATCTCACGTCAACAGATGAGCGTCACTGTTACACTGAAGACAATAAAGAGCAGCAAAAATGTACATTCTGTTCAGATCTCACATTGATCCTGAAGTGTCTAATGAATGCAGAAAACTGAGATCACATAGCAGTCCAGCAAATATTTGATAGCGGCTCAGCCTAAGAAAGGCTGGAAAGGCATCTACAGACTGAACAGAAGAGCCACAGAGAGTTTGCAGTAATGGCAGAAATTCCCTTTCATAGCACAGTTTTGCAACCACAAGCCAGTTGAAAAGAATGTTGAATTGAAATTTGTAGTCTTTTTATGGCAGTCGCCATAACATATGAACAGTCACAGTATACCTCTATGACTTTTCCTGGAAACATAAAAGGCAACTCTACAAGCCAGACATCTAAAATATGCAAGGCACAATCTATGAGTGTCTGGAGGTTGAGCTAAAAAGTGAGTAGAAGCAAGTCCTGCATAACGTGAAAAGTCTGAAACAACCGTAAGTAAAAATGAAATGTCCAAGCAATGCACAACTCTAGCCTTATGGAAAATGAAATACAGAAGCACACACTGTTCACTGGCACACTATGTCCAACCATCTCATCCTTTGTCATCCCCTAATCCTCTTGCCTTCACACTTTCCCAACATCAGGGTCTTTTCCAAGAAGTCTTCTCTTCTCATGAGATGGCCAAAGTATTGGAGCCTGAGCTTCAGGATCTGTCCTTTCAGTGAGCGCACAGGGTTGATTTCCTTCAGAATGGATAGGTTTGTTTGTGGTGGCAGAATGGGGAATCCCAGCACATAGGTGCCTCAAGACCCACTCCGGATCTGCTGCCAGCACCAGAGTCTTGTACACACTCACTAGATGAAGTCCTTGCAGGGGCGTTATTCTGCACCTTCTGCCTGCCTCCAGCGTGCCCCCCTTTTCCTCTCCAGTCCCATCTGGGACTCTGTCCCTTTAAGGGAGAGAGGGGGTGTCTTACATCATTAGAGGGAGGCGGGGGGAGATGGAAGCCAAGTTATTTTCTCGCATTCTTTTGTTTCCATCCACTGGTGCTCAGAGGATTGAAGGGAAGGCAGGGTCTCCTTACTCCCCCCCCCTTACACACACTTACACCTTCTCAGGTTTGGCTGTGCAGGGTGGGGGGAGGAGTGATCTGTTGACCTATGGCTCACATGCCGGCAGAAAGGGCTGCGCATGCCAACTGTGGCGCGCGTACCGCAGGTTTGCATCATTGGTGCAGAGCTTCTCCATCTTTGGCTGCAGAGAATATAATTAATCTGATGTTGGTATTGCCCACCTGGTGATGTTCATGTGTAGGGCCGCCTCTTGTGTTGTTGGAAAAGAGTGTTTGTGATGACTAGCTTGTTCTCTTGACAAAACTCTATTAGCCTTTGCCCTGCTTCGTTTTGAACTCCAAGGCCAAACTTACCTGTTGTTCCTTTTATCTCTTGACTCCTTACTTTAGGATTCCAGTCCCCTATAATGAGAAGAACATCTTCCTTTGGTATCATTTCTAGAAGGTGTTGTAAGACTTCATAGAAATGGTCAATTTCAGCCTCTTCAGCATCGGTGGTTGGTGCATAAACTTGGAATACTGTGATGTTGAAAGATCTGCCTTGGATTTGTATTGAAATCATTCTATTATTTTTGAGATTGTATTCCAGGACAGCTTTTCCCACTCTTTTGTTGAATATGAGGGCTACTCCATTTCTTCTATGGCATTCTTGCCCGCAATAGTAGATACGGTGATTGTCTGAATTGAATTCGCCAATTCCTGTCCATTTTAGTTCACTGACGCCCAGGATGTCAATGTTTATTCTTGCCATCTCCTGTTTGACCACATCCAGCTTCCCAAGGTTCATAGATCTTACATTCCAGGTTCCTATGCAGTTTTGTTTTGTTTTTTGGCAGCACTGGACTTTCCTTTCACTTCCAGGTGCGTCCACAGCTGAGCGTCCTTTCGGCCTTGGCACAACCACTTCATTAGCTCTGGAGCTACTTGTACTTTTCCTCCACTCTTCCTCAGTAGCATGCTGGATGCCTTCCGATCTGAGGGGCTCATCTTCCAGCATATCTTTTAGCCTTTTGTTTCTGTTCATGGACTTTTCTTGGTCAAGATACTGGAGTGGCTTGCCAGTTCCTAATCCAGGTGGATCACGTTTAGTCAGAACTCTCTACTATGACCTGTCCATCTTGGGTGTTCCTGCATAGCATAGTCCAGTGGCCCCCAACCTTTTTAGCCCTGCAGACCGACTGGAGAAGGCGAGGCAGGTGCATGCAGCAGTTGTGTGGGGTTGCTTGTGCTCGTGTGCATACGCAAAGGGTGGTGTGGTGCTCGGAGCATTCATGCATATGTGCGAAGGGGTGGGGGTGTAGTCACATGGGCGCAGGCACGCGAGCGCAGGCACAAACAGGTTGTATGGGGGGAGTGCATACAGGGGGAGAGGTCTGTCTCTGCGGCCCGGTCTGGCTCAGGCCACAGACCGGCACTGGCCCGGAGACTGGGGGTTGGGGCTCTCTGGCATAGCCCATAGTTTCTCTGAATTACTCAACACGGCGAGGCAGCAATCTATGAAGGGGTAACCCCTATTATAGGGAGGTCCAATTGAAGACGTTTTAGATACTGCACCAGTCACATTTGGCCTCTATAGCATGACTACAATAATGCTGGCATTATCACACTTGTTCTTTACAAATGCTTTCAGTATTAGAAAGAGTGGAGTGAAAGCAGAAATGAGTTGTCCCATCGACTGATGGAGAAAGGCATCATCCAGAGATGCGTGCTTAGATTCTCCCCAGGATGAGTACACAACATTGAGTATTATGGGAGCTAGTAAACAGATCTAGCTGTGGCATGCTCCGTCTCAGGAAAAATTGACAGACTGCCAGGGAATGAAACTTCCGTTCATGAGCAGGATCAACTTCCAGCTGAAGAAATCATCCTGAGTATTTTCTTTGCCTGGGAGACAAACCACAATTTGCCAGATTTTTCAGCAGCAGCACAAGTTCAATAACCGCACTATTGAGGTCATTAACAGGATTTTGTGATTCTTTTTTTAAAATATAACTTTATAAATTGTTGTACTGTTGTATGTTGTGATCTGGACAGTCTGATATAGCAACAGATATTTAAAAGCTTGGAAAGCATTGATAACAGCCAGTAACTCTTACTCATTTATGTGTAGAGTGGCCTCTAGGCTAGACCACAGTCATGTATCTGATAATGAAGACAATGTACTCCGCATCTACTGGTAAATGCATCTGTTGTTACTACTATGAGTGGTTTTAACATTTGAGTCATAGTGGTGAAGTTGTACATTTGGAGAGCTCTGCTGTTGTGCAAGGGGCTGTGAGGATGTTAAGTCAGAAGGATCATCTTTTTGTCTGTGGTCCTCTTTTCCCATTGGCTCATCTTTAAAGCACATCAACAGAAATGCTTATCCCTCCATTTTGACAAAAGTATAAATTTTGCTACTGGGCTTGTTCTCACAGCAAGAATAGACACCACTGATGAGTCTGAAACCAACATGGATACAGAGGCAGACACAGAATGAAGTATTGTGAATAGTAAAGATCCAGTAGTTGAAGGCACAAAAGTAAATTATTTTGAAATTGAAGAAAAAATTGCCTTTCCCAAAATAAGGCCTGTAGTCTAGCATCTTGATTTTCCCTGCCCTGCAGCATGAAAACCGAGCAAATTTTGCAAGAACAAATATTATGAGATTGACCTCAACAGAGGTGGCAGTGGAAGCGTCTGTTGGGCAAAGGGGTTTTAGAGCCACAGGGCCTAAAATTATAAGCTACAGCTCTGAATTCTACTAGCAAATTATAAACAGACAAACTTTAGAGGCAAACACTCACCAACTGAAAAAAAAGAAAAAATAAGGAGAGGTTCCAAAATACTGCTTGTTCAACAGTAGATGAAAAGGAATGAGGAAAAATTGAAGTGAAATGAGCTGTCATACACAGTGCCAAGGTCAGCATCCACCAAAACACTAAGGTTCAGTTTTAGAAGATTCAAGAATGTTCTATGCAGTCACAAGAAAACCTATCAATGTGAGTCCACAGCAACCACAAAGATGAAGTTGCACTTCTAAAAGTTACAGATCAATTTTCCACAAGACAAATCACTGGCCTCTCTCAAAAGAAGTTACTCCAACCATAGGCTCTACAGTGATTACATGGAAGTTTGCAGTCTCTAGTGCGCCAAAATCGAGCTTGTGTGATTCGTCCACTCTCACCAGCTATGGGGTGGAGTGAGGTAAACTCACTCTATTATTATGTCTAGTCAGTGATTAGAGATA